GGTATTCTTTCCTTTTTCTCTAGCCTCATTTGTCTGTGTACTAGTCAAAATCGTGAACCTACATTCAAATTCAGGGGATAGTAGTGGCTTCTTGCTTGACCCTTTGTGGTAGAAGTCTGTTACTACAATAATATATTTTTAAAGTAATACATACTAACTGTACAATGCAATGGATTTGTCATAGCATTTCTTTTCTTTTTTTGGTAACAGAAAAAGTTGTATTTTTCAGATTTTTTAAATTTGAATTAGAAACAAGATTATTTTTCATGTCAATCCCAGTTCCCTCACCCTCCCCTCCTCCTCAACCCCCCCACATATCATTAAATATGTAAAATATTTAATAAATATTTTTATTAAATATTTAATTTAATAAAACCCTACCTATCACATATCATTTCTGCTCCCCCTGGAGGGTGAGGCCTTCCATAGGGTGTAATCAGAATCTATCATATCCTTTGATATAGGGCCTAGGCCCACCCCCGTGTGTCTTGGCTCGGGGAGTATTCCTCTATGTGGAATGGGCTTCCAAACTCCACATCTATGCTAGGGATAAGTACTGAACTACTACAGGAGGTCCCATAGATTTCCAGTGTTTCCTCACTGAAACCCACGTTCCTAGGGTTTGGATCAGTCCCATGGTGGTATCCCAGCTATCAGTCTGGGGACCAAGAGTTCTCCGATGTTCAGGTTAGCTGTTTCAGTGGGTTTCACCAGCCTGGTCTGGACCCCTTTGCTTATCACTCGTCCTTTTCTGCAACTGGATTCCAGTTCAGTTCAGTGATTAGTTGTGGGTGTCTGCTTCTACTTCCACCAGCTGCTGGATGAGGGCTATCAGGTGGCATATAAGTCAGTCATCAATCTCATTATCAGGGGAGGGCATTTAAGGAAGCCTCTCCTCTGTTGCTTAGATTGCTAGCTGGTGTAATATTTGAGATCTCCAGACATTTCCCTAGTGCCTGATTTCTCTGTAAACCTAAAATGTCTCCCTTTATTATGTCATAGCATTTCTGTACATGTATATAATGTGTTTGGATTAGTCTCTTCATATATTCATTATCTTTTCTTTATTCCTCCTTCTCTTCATCTTCAATCTCTCTCATAGTATCATCATTTTTATCCACCCCAAGTAAGTTCAAAAGGAAAAATGATATTTATCTTGGTGAAACTTTTATTTGGCATAGCATGGTGACAGACATTTCCATCTATTTTCCTGAAAATAGCATTGTTTTTCTTTATGGATAGATAAAATACCCAATCACATTTTCTATATCCATCCATCTGTTGATGGGCACCTAGACTGATTTTCTGACTTGACTGTTCTAAATAGTGTCAGCTACAATATGCATGGCTACGTAGGTGTTTATATTGTGAGTTGGCACTCCTTCATTTGGATATGATTTCAGGAGTAGTTTAGCCACACCATGTGATCGTTATATGTTTAGCTTTTTAATAAACCACTATACTCTTTCCATAGTGTCTGGATTAACTTACATTCCAACAAACAGCACATAAATGTTTCTTATTTTCGTTCATCCATGCCCAAACTTGTTTTCATCTTGACAGTCATTCTGACTCAGGTAAGATGGAACTGTGGTGCAGTTTTAATTAGACTTTCCCCTGTGGTTAAGTTTGTTAAGATTGCTGGGCAGTTTTTTTCTTATGTTTATTGAACATTGTGCTTCTGACTTTGAGAAGTGTTAAGTTCTTTTTTTGTTTGTTTTTATTTTTTATTTTATTTTTGTTTTGTTTTTAAATACTTTTTAAAAATTTAAATTAGAAACAATCTTGTTTTACATGTAAATCCTAGGTCCCTCTCCCTCCCCTGCCCCCCACGGACTCCCATCCCATCCCCTTTCTGCTCCCCATGGAGGCTGAGGCCTTCCATGGGGGATCTTCAAAGTCTGTCACATAATTTGGAGCAGGACTTAGGCACTCCCATGTGTTCCATAGTGTCTAGGCTGAGAGACTATCCCTCTATATGGAATATGCTCCCAAAGTCCATTCGTACACTAGTGATAAATACTGATCCACTACTAGAGGCCCCATAGACTCCCCAGGCCTCCTAGCTGACACCCACATTCAGGGGGTCTGGGTAGGTTCTATGCTGGTTTCCCAGTCTAGGGTCCATGAGCTCCCCCTTGTTCAGGTCAGCTGTTTCTGTGGGTTTTTCCAGCCTGGTCTTGACACCTTTGCTCATCACTCCTTCCTTTCTGCAACTGGATTCCAGGAGTTAGCCTCAGTGCTTAGCTGAGGGTGTCTGCTTCCACTTCCATCAGCTATTGCATGAAGGCTCTAGGATGACAATTCAGGAAGTCAGCAATCTCATATAGGGGAAGGGCATCTAACGTAGCCTCTCCACTATTGCTTAGATTCTTAGTTGGGGTCATCCTTGTAGATCTCTGGACATTTCCCTAGTGCCAGATTTCTCTTTAGACCTACAATGGCTCCCTCTATTATGGTATCTCTTTTTTTGCTCTCCCACATTTTTCCTTGATTCAGTCTTCATGTTCCCTCATGTCCTCCTCTCCCCTTCTCTTCTCCCTTTCTCTTTCTTGTTTTGTTTTTCAAGACAGGGTTTCTCTGTATTGCTTTGGAGCCTGTCCTAGAACTTGTTCTGTAGACCAGGCTGGCCTTGAACTCACAGAGATCTGCCTGCCTCTGCCTCTTGAGTGCTGGGATTAAAGGTGTGCGCCACCAATGTCCAACCTGAGAAGTGTTAAGTTCTTTTGCCACATATTGATTAATTAATTAATTTATTTGCTCTTTTGGTGTTTAACTTTTTTATGCTGTTTCTTCCACACACTTTGGATTACTTTGAATTCTTTATTGTGGCTATTAATGTCTATTAGATGAATACTTTCCTATGATCTATATAATGGAATTGAGTTATTCAAAAGAAATTAACTTTTGGAATTTCAATAATAACACCTATTATGAAGTTATAATAAAAGAGTTATTTCAATGTTGCAAATAGTATAAATGATATATCAGGATTGTATCCTATTGATTTCTTACTGTTTAACTTTGTGAAGGGAGAATTTATTTGAGTGTTATTATTTAACTTTAAAGATGAACTAGTGCATTAATTACTCTTCTATTGCCGTGATAAAACATCATAGTCAAGGAAACTAATAGAAGGAAGAGTTTCTTCAGACTTACCATTCCAAATGGTGGAAGAGTCCATCATGGTGGAAAACCTAGCAGCAAGAAGCAGGCATGGAGACAGGAACAGGAAGCTGAAAGCTCATATCCTCAGTTACAAGCAAGAAACAAAGAGAGCAAACTGGACACACATTCACAAAGCCTGTCCTTAGTGACATACTTTCTCCAACAAGGTCACATCTAAACTTTCTTAAACATCACCACCAACAGGGACAAAGTGTTCAAATACCCAAGCCAGTGGGGAACATTTCTATTTAAACCATGACTTTTCACTCCCTGACCACCATGGATTCATGACTGTATCATAGTTCAAGTTCATTTAGTCCAATGCCAAAAGTCCCTATAGTCTTTTACAGTATAATAATGTTCAAGAATCCAAAGTTTCTTCTGAGACTCAAGACAGTGTCTTACTTATAATCCCCAGTTAAATTACAAAGCATATCACATACTCCAAACATACAATGACACGGAATGGAAGAATGAGGTCATAGTTAGGAAATACTGGATCAAAGCAAGACCAAAACCTTGCAAATCTTGTAGCTCCATGTCTGGTGTCTAATGGCTTGGACAGTTCTGCTCTTCAGGCTTGGTTGCCTGAAACATGCGTGTCTTTTGGGATAGTTCCACTCATTGTTGGCTGTTGATTTTGGCAGATATGGCATGGCTCTAGAATCTCCAATATTTTAGGGTCTTCATTGCAACTCAGGCTTTACTTTCATGCAGTGAACTCCATGCAGTGGCCTCTCAAAGTACATGGCTCTCCAAAGACCTCCATGAAGGGACTCCCCTCCATGTATTGCCTGGCCTCAGTGGTTCTCTGAAACCACAGGGGAAGAATCCAAGACCTCTTCATTTTTTCATCCTTTATTTCTCCAAAGCCAAAACCATGTGCACAACGCTGCCAAGTTAGGCTGCCAGCTTGGGATGGCCCTTGGCCCCTTGAATCACATTAGCAGCAGAATTTTTAATTCAGTTGCTTTCAGAAAAGGCCCAGGTTTTCTTACACCATTAGTGCTCCTTTTCTCTCCAAACTTTACATTTTGTGTTTCTTTCTGCCCCACTTGTTCTCATTTCATTGTAGACCTGTATATACATTATCAGTATCAGTCATGGCATGGATTAAATGTTATAGTATTTTGAAATTTCCTCTAACAAAAGGTTAGCCCATTACTTTTCAATTTAACCTCAGTTAACATCTTAGTACAGAGGCAAAAGGCAGCCAGATTCTTTGCCAAAATATCACACAAATGGCCTCTAGCCCAGTTGCTGTTAAAGGTCTTTGCTTCCCTCTAAAACCTCTTGAGCCAGGCATCTACAATTTGTTCTGCCCTCAGCACTGTCTTTTACGCTCCTACTAGAATAATGCTTTCATCTCTGCCACTTTTCTAGTGCCATGTTCCAAAGTCTTCCACATTCCTCAAACACAGCAACAAAACCAATGGCCAGGTTCTTTACAGCAATATCCCACTCTCTGGTATCTAATACTAGTTACCCCTTTTATTGTTACAATAAAACACCATAACCAAGGTATATTACAGATGTTAGATGGTTAGTATTCCATCATGATGTACGACAGCAAGCAACAGGAATGGGGCCAGGAAATGAGACAAAGAGATAGAACTGAATGTTGAGCAAGATGATGAATCCCCAAAGCCAGCCTTTAGTAACAAATACCTCCAGCAAGGTTATGTCTCCTAAACCTCCAAAACAGCACCAGTAATTGGGGTCCAAGTGTTTCAATGTCCAAGCCTGTGAGGGATATTTTTATTCCAACCACTACAAATAGAGTGGGAAATCCAAGTAATTTCTTTTTCTTATACTCGTGCCTTGCATTTCAGGAAGTATCCCAGTTATCTGGACTCCCTGAATATGTGAAAATAGTAGAAGTTGGACCTAGGGATGGATTGCAGAATGAAAAGGTGGGTTTATATTATCTTTACATAGTGAATTCCTTAAAACTTTAATGGTTTGTAGATTTTATATTTTAAACAATATTTATGTATAGTTGCTACCTTAATTTTGAAATCATATTGTAGTTTCTTTCAATTTGGAAGTAATATTTTGTGCTTCAATAGGTTTAATGCAGTTCACTCATACAATATGTTTTATGAATTTTTTTAGGTTATAGTTCCTACAGATATAAAAATTGAATTCATCAATCAACTTTCCCAAACTGGCTTGTCTGTAATAGAAGTAACAAGTTTTGTGTCTTCCAGATGGGTACCACAGGTATTCTAATTCATAGTTATATAATTTAACATGTTTAAGTTTAGGAATGCAATTGACATAATCGCTATATATTATAAATTATTGGTTTATATCTGATAGGATTTAGAAAACCATTGATATATGAATCTTAAAGTTCTCTAAGAATTAATATAATATTAAGCAATTTAAAAAATAACATGTAACTATATTAGCAGATGATCCAAAATGACAAATATAGGTTAAAGCTTTTAAATAGCAACTTTGGGGCCTGCCTTGGATTCACCATTTATAAATGACATTTTTAAGCACCCTGAGTATCTTCAAGTGGGATAGAACTTCACATTAACAGATGAGTGATGTAAAGCTGATTTTGCACTTGCTTCCTCTATCCCTTATGTTTACTGACAGGTAAAGTGGGAAACACACAAAAGAAGGGGTAAATCATTTACAAGCTCCTCATTAAAAATGATGCCGTAGCTTTATCCAGAATTTCAGATATTTAACAAAACTCATCAATCCTGAGACTTGATTAGAGTTTTGGAGGCATAACTAGTAATTAATGATTAGTATAGATAGGTTCATCCTTCCTAACCCAGTATCTGTACAGCACCTTGATCCCCAACTTTCTTCCCTGTACATCATGTCACTGGTTACTTTTGAACCCATTCCCATAATCATCATCATTCTCTGTTCTCTTTATTCAGCTGATTTCATATCATTCTGTTTCCTTTATCTGTGACACCTTTTCATGCTTGCTAACGTTTGATTTTTCTTGATACACAGGTTTTCATGTTCTTACCTGCCTAAGCTTTCTCCCTTCACCGTGTTTCTTATGCCAGTAGTCACTTCACTGAGGAATAAGAGGCTTACTTTTCTGATAGACTTCAATGTCAATGTGAAATTGACATTTTAAACTCATTGTATTCAAACCCACGCTCACCTTATCCCTCACTGCTCTCATACACTCTCATACATAACAAGATTCTTAATTTTGTGCTTGATTCTCCAAGGGGTTGCTTTTTATGCCTAATCAGTTACTGTCTTGCTTAGTTATGGCTACAGTAATGGAATATCAAGTAATGGAATATCAAGGCAGATCAGATGCCAGAGATCTATTCTAGACTCTGGGACACCTGGGATCAGGATGCTAACAATTCTATTTTATGTGAAGTATTGCCTTCTAGTTTTCACATATCCGTCTTTACATGGTATCTTCATATGGCAGACAGAAGAGTAAGGACGAGAATTGTTTCCTGTCTCCTCTTACAAGAGCATTATTCCATTGTTGGGACTCTGTCATGATGATGTAGGTACTGTTTAGAGTACTCCATTCCAAATATGATCATGTTAGCACTAACACATGGAAATTTGGACCGTTTGGTGCAAACATTCATTCCACAGCAAAACACAAACAAACAAAAGCTTATAAAGTGTTTCAGTGATTTAAAAAGTTACATGCAAAATATTCTTCTCCCCATATGATATTGCCCCTGGCTTCATGCTACTACTGTTATGTGATAATAGACATTGATTGATAGACTGTCCTTTAGACTCACCTATGATGCTCACAGAGACATCAGAAAGAATAAAGCTAGAACAATTTCTAAAAGGCCACACTTACTCTCTTATAGCTAATGACGAGAAAATATGGATGAAAGAAAGAGAAATACAGTCTTCCTATAAATAGGAATTGGATCTTGCTTCCTGCCCTGGCTTAAATAAATACACATGATGGGAATATAAAGTGACAAGTTTTATTCTGTGTTTGGTCCTGAGTTGAATTTTGTATTAGCCTACTGAAAATTAATGAGCCTATTTTAAGCTCTAAGTAATATTGAGTAAGTGACTGAATTGTTTCACATAGCCCCCGAGGATATCTGTGTTGAGGAGATATGGTTCTAGATTTGTGCCCTTACCCAGAGTGTGCAATGCATTTGAGTAAGTGATTTAACCTCTCTGAACCTTAGAAATCTCAGCACAGATGTCCACAGTACAGTATGGTTGTGGGTAGCCACAGAGGGTCAGACACATCAATGGTCCATGTGTGTATATGATCACAGGGCCTATCTCCTGAATAGTGTTCAATAATATTTTCCATCACAACTCTATTAATATGTGTTCATTTTAAGCCTCATCTGGTTACATGCATCTAAAGAAAAAAGTGATTTAAATAAATCATATAGCCACAAAAGAGCAGTGTGCCTGAATCAAAGACAAATATCACAAATTTCATCTTTCAAAGTGGCACTAGCCTTGCCTTACTTTATACTATACATCAAATGTTTATCTAAAGGCAGCCATACGATTACCCCCTCTTTTATAGTTTGGCAATCATTGTGTAGCTGCTTTAGATTTTCCTGACCTTACATTTGAAAACTTTTCCTTTCAAATTCTTTCATTCTCATTTTAGAAGAACATCATGGAATTGAGACCTTTAAATAATGTCTGAGATTGGCATACAATGAATTTTGGTATAGCAGCTCCTTATATGTTGTCTGAAGTGATTTCTCCTTCTGAAGACAATGCCTGAGGCCCCTCTTGGTATTCTGTGAGTTCTGTGTTTTCCTGGAGCCAATTCTGTATCAGACGAAGGTCGTGGGAATAGTTCTCCAGTTTATGTTTAGATTGCTGCTTGTTCACTTATTTCTTTTTTTAGCATTTTAAAGCTTTTTTTTTTACAGTTTCCCTCCTACTGTTTTGTTTGGCAGAAGCTGTCTAACTCAAATAGCTTAAAGAAAAGTTCCATGGTAGCAGGGTGCCATATAAAACAGGATCCTATACCTATAATTTAAATGATCACAGATGATAAAATGCCTGCCATAAGAAATACATGTTCTTTATAACTTATCTGGAAAAAGATTTTCTTAGAGTGACATGTAATGTAAGAACATTTGGAATTAGTTCAGGTAGCCCCTCACTTAGATGGAACACACAATAGCATGAGAAAGAAAACACATTAAAAACAGATTTTCTGAACTTCGGAATGTGTTTGTTAATAGTAAGCTATTTAAGTTATTGTAACTATCACAATTTTTAAAGTGAACTAAATCTTTGTTTTAGTCATTGACTTTCTCTTTTGATCTGTAAATATTTTTGTTTATATGAATGGTTAAAATGAATGCTATTTTGAAAATAAGAATAAATTAGGTGTGGAACACTATCTATATATATCATATGAAACAGATCAGTTATAAATACTATTTGTCCCTTATGAAGCTTTTACTATTGGAATAAATGGCTAAAACGTCTTCCTGGAAGGGATAGAAGTGCATTTTTCTTTATGAGAGTAGAAAAATTGTACATAGAATACTGTAGCATTATTTTTTACAAGTCACTCTAACACTTAAAAGCAGGGTCAAGGTACATATTGACAAGATCTCTGTAACCTTTCTATACACTCATTCTACCATGGAGGATAGTTCATTCTTTATTGAAATGAAGTATGTTCACTAGATTGACATATCAAGTTTAAATTTGCACTTATGAAATGTAAGAGACCACATCTTTTGTATCTTATCTGTCTTGGTCTTTGTGGCTCTGTTCTTTTTATGGTGTGTAGATGGTAGGGAGTGAATAATTTTGTGGAGATGAGAGACATAGTGGGGGATGGAGGGAGGGAGAGGAGGCAGGGTGCCTCCAAATTGCTAGGTTATGAGACATAGTAATATGTTCAGGCAAGAGAAATGCCTCTGGATGATTTCAATAAAAGGGTATCTACCCTACTTTTGGTCTACTATATACTTGTGCCTGTCATTTCCACAAAGGGAATCTTGGACAAATTAACCAAGGCCACACACCTTCCTGTTTCCTGGTGTTATTCTATTACCCTCCAAATCCTTAGTTTTACCCAGGAGTCCTGGTGTTACCTCAGAGCATAGACTGGCAACCTACAGGGAAGAAATGCTTAACCCCAAGTTTCCATGGACAATTCAATTACATGGATCACAAACGTCTGTGCTTAGCATTGTGCTGTTAGACGCTGATATGGAAGTCAAAGCCACATTGTGACCTGTAATTCTCCATAATCATCATACTCTGTAGCTATTAGAAAAGTTTTTGCAATAAAGATAGATCCATTTAATGACTTCAAACAGCTTTAGGAACCAAACATTTCAAACTCCAAGAATATCCACTGGGATAGTATTATTTTTCCCTCTAAACTGGCATCCCAGGTATTCACATTAATCACACTTCCTCAAAAAGATTGCCATGAACTGGCGTTGGTGGTGCATGCCTTTAATCCCAGCACTCAGGAGGCAGAGGCAGGCAGATCTCTGTGAGTTCGAGGCCAGCCTGGTCTCCAGGATAGACTCCAAAGCTACACAGAGAAACCCTGTCTCAACAAACATAACAAAACAAAAAGATTGCCATGAAAAGATCCAATGATACATTTTCCTTAGAAGCAGAGTCTAAAATGACTATACTGTTTTGTTCCTCACCTTAGACAAGTGTATTTGTTTTCTTAATTGTCAAATAATTCAGTATGGTCACTATTTGCCTGTGGGTAGGAGTGAAGATGCTAATTGATATACTATAAATGATATTACATGGCTATTGAGATTAAATGTAAGAAATTGTGCTATGAGAATTCTGGTGATCTTAGCTCCCATTTCCTGGTGTTCCAGGAGCACCTTTACCTAGAAAGGTGTGATGCTAGCCCTTCAAGAAAATTGAAAACAATAGATGCCTTTTGCCCTCTCATTCTGTTTCTAGTATTTAATACACAAACCACAGACCCAGTAGAGTGCCTTAATGGAGCCAATATGTTTTCTTTCACTTAATGTGTACCCTATGGCATATTGTGTGTGCAAATGTTTCTGCATGCATGTATTCAAAGCTGAATCAGACAGGTTTTCATTGTGTGCATAAGAAATATTCCATAAGTTTAGTGACTTAAAATAATAATAATATTTGGTTTTGCTGGTGTCTTTTAATCTTAAGCAATTCAGTTAAGACTCCATTAGGCATTCCAGAGACTTATTAGGCACCAGTAGAAAGGCAGAGTAGATGGTGCTTAGAGC